ATGCCACAAATTCTCCTAAATCACTCGTACGCACAACTTAAGAACAAATCTGTGCGTACGAACGGTTCTTGCATGAGGCCCATTGCTTCTTGGCAATAAATCCATTGGAAATTTCCATTTTAAATGATGCCACTTTGGAAGGAACATGTTTTTTTGGGCTGAGCAGTAGAGCTGAGGGTTGCTCACATGAAAGATTTGCCAAATCTTCTCTGTCAAACAGCATTTTGTACTGTTGCTATTGACATTTGTTTTGAGCTTCTGGTTCCCCCAGGTGCTGCCAGTCAGGTGCTGCTATAAGATTTATTGCCAAGAAGCAATGTTACAACAAAGAAACAATCTACCAAACACACATTTCCTTACTTTTTGTGCTAAATATACATAACCTCATTGATGTAAAGTGACAAAACAAGTCCAGCAGCTGTTTTTTGCTCTGCAGCCTGTTTAATAYGTCTAATTACAGAGGCATAGAAAGTGCAAACAGCTGAACAGCAGGGGTAAACAGCTGGTCTGTTAGAAAGCTGCCGACCTCTTCTAACCTCAGGGTCATCAGCTGGGGGGGGTTAAAGGTCAAAGGTGAGGCTGGCTCACGCTAATGCATGAAAAAAGAGGGGCAAAGCATATCCTCACACGTCTTYGTTTTCACGACAAGCGTTCAAGTGAAAGTTGTTCAGTAACTTCTTCCAAACAAGCAACCACGGGAGAAAGCCACAACAGCCGTCAGAAATAATTTGCAGTAATTGTAGCAGGGTGTAAACATGATTATCAGAGCACCGCAGGGCTCCCCGAGCAGCATCACGCCTGGCATGTTCCACGGCACACACATCTGCTGTGCAGCTCCCGACACACGCTGTTTCACTTAAACATCAACGGACTCCAGGAAGCCCTCTCGTGCTACAGTCAAAGTATGCCTATTAAACACTCAATCATGCACCCGCGAGCTCTCCACACCTGGCTCTGCTTCCAGTCTGCGTACGGCGCTGCCAGCAGGTTGCGTGACTCGTCCAGGGAGGACTGACTTGTTGTTTTGTAGCACGTAAAAGACGTCAAACATCTACATTGACCTGCAGGTGTGTGGATCCTCTCCACCTGCGTTCACCTGCACTCTGGATGAGGTGGATGTGTTCAGAGTGAAAAAACGAACTTGGAGCTTGATATAAATCGAAGGATCATCGAAGCTGCTTCCAGAAAGGAAGCCTGTCTTTAATGTTTTGTGGGGCGGCGGCCAATGTCACTGCGTTTTTGATCCGGCAGATGTTCACGYAACGAACAACTGAGCCAAGATTTCTTCTTCTGGTGACAGTCACTGGATGAAAGCAGGATTTCTGACGTTCACCTCGAAACAAGTTTCATCACGAGGTTTTTTGTAAAACCTTTGGAATGTTACAAAGTCCACAGAAAAGGGAGTTATTATCACCGTGAAACTCATTTGCATAAAACTTTGACACAACCTCAAACAATCCCCGAACATCTGCCTCACACAGAGCTCTGGGTCTGTCAGAAAAGTGACAAAGTGTTTTGGTTTTGAGGTGCAGCTGCAGTGATAATAATCATAACATCTATCTGAGCCAGTCAGTTTGTATTAAACATTTATCCATCGCACTCATACTCCAGATAACAGCTAACAGATGTTGGCATCTTTTTTCAAACATCACTTCATTCCTGTCTGCTGACCTAATGTTGCGTTAGAAAACAAATCATTTTTGTATCATTTTAATTTGGATTTCGTTGCGGCTTCTGTTCGGCAATTCAACTGTAAGTTTGTAATGATCTAAGGTAAGAAACAATGTGTTAAGGCTGCTTTCAGTACCTCTGTAAGAACACACCTTTTTCTCTCTTTCTGATAACACAAACTCAAATGTGAGCAGTAAATTACAAGTCGTATCTTAAAGATTTTTGACCCATGAGCACCAGAAGACTCTGAGAGTCAGACGTGATTTTTTTAAATACAGTATATGCAGTTTTATTTTTAGATATCTGCTTTTAAATCCTTCTTTTGTTGAGTCTATATAAAGTGGAACTGCAATGCTTTGGTTTGAATCCCTCCTTATTGCAACTCCACAAGCCCCGCCCCTTTTTGAGGCTGTCTCTTTAAATCCAAATGAGGTGCTTCAAACCCCACCCCCCTCCAGCTTCCAGACCGGTCCATTTTAGTTTTATAGAGGGGGGTTTACGACTATATAGCTGCGCAGAAACGTTTTATTTACAAATGAATTAAAAGATGTCAACAAGACTTGTCCATCCAACCTTACATGTTGGAGACAGAGTCTGACCCGGAGTTGACGTTTATTTGGGGTGCTGCTGAGGTTTTCCAGCTG